TATATATATTGTTCTTAAGAATTAGGAAACAATTTCATGTGTTTTAAATTTGTCACTTCTATTCTTTACAGACCCTTGTAGTGCCAAAAACTTTTTAAAAGGTTAAAAAAAATAAAACTTAAACATGAAGATTCAAACTTTTTTCTTTTACATACTTGTATACTGAATATATTCAAACTTGAATGGAGAGTTGTTTTTGTCTGTATTTGAAGTTATATTTTAAGTTAATAAATCTTTTTTGACAAGAGTCAAATTTGGTTAATTCATTTGGTTTATGGTTTAGATGATGGAAATACAACAATTCAAAGACTTGTTTTACTTTCAGTGAACATTGTATTCTGAATCATTTCATTTTAGAAGGTCAAGGTTCTTTTCATGTCCATTATTTTAGTGGATTTTTACAACCACTGTATGAAATTTGTAGATGCTGATGTCATTTTCATCTTAGCATTGGAAAGGGAAACTGAAGAGCATAGCAATGAAGTGAATTTCAAAGGTAGTACCCTAACATGTCAAAATTGTAATCTAAATAGATCTTCTGAGGGCTAGGGATGTAGCTCTGTGGTAGTAGATCACTTGCCTGGCATGCACAAGGCCCTGGGGTTCCAGACTCAGCAGTGGAGTCATGGGAAGATCTTTTGAATTTTTTAAAACTTAATACTGGATTAGTGTGAGGGAAAGTTTTTTTGGCGGGGAGATGGGAGTCTCACAAACTAATTTGCCCTAGCTGCTCTCAAACCACCATCCTTCCAATCTCAGCCTCCCATGTAGCTAGAGTTACAGGTGTGAGCCACTCAAACCTGGCTCCAGAAGGATAATTCTTATTTACTAAGGAACTAGTATGTGCCTGAGTCTGTCCAGTCGGAGTATTGTACTGCTACCTAGAAAACACAGGATGGTGATAACTTGTCAATAATGCTTGTGATCAGTGACCACAAAATTAGTCACATGTGCCACTTAACCACAGGGATACATTCTGAGGAATGTGTCGTTTGGTGATTTCATCTTTATGTAAACAGAAGTGTACTTACACAGACCTAGATGGTATAGGTCAATCATTCTACTTGGCCTTTTGATGCAGTCACAAAACCCATAAACACAGATATACAAGGGTGCTGAGGGTATAGCGCAGCATTTTCTTTTAAAGTAGGAGTATACTTCAATGATAAAGTATAATATTACGAACTGTATAAAATCCTATGTGCTTTATTTTGTATGACTTACAATGCAATAGATTTGTTTACACTAGCTTTGCCATAAGCCCTATAATGTGCTGTGATGTTATGATGCCTACAACCTTACTATGTAGTAAGAATTTTTCAACTCCGTAATCTTACAGAATTTTGTTGACCAAAATGTTATGCAGTGCATGACTGTATTAGAATTCAGACTGGAGTTGTTGGGCATTACTGCTTCATTTACAGTAAGGTGAGGTATTTTCTCTTAACTCCTTAGTCAGATTTGCAAGGATTTTAGGCCAGTGAAGCTACAGAATGTGAATAAGTAGATAATAATGTATTTACAGGAAGTATTTGAAATATTCCATGAAATTCAGGAGGTTGAGGGTATTCCTGACATATTTGCTGAGTTGAGATCACTGTATTTATTGTTTTTTTCAGTATTCTTCAAAGTCTTAGTAAGTAGTGAGTCATAAGCTCATTTCTTTTGTTAATGAGATACTTAATCTAGCTGTGCTTTTGTGTTAAAGTGTGTGTGACTTGGAGCATTCAAGAGTCTCTTTAAAATTGACATTCAAATATCTCCTTTCAGGTTTCGGGGAGCAGGTTATGAGGTATACAGAGGTGTTCATTTTACTGTTTCAGTACTATGAGCTTTTTGTTAAAACCCAGTGAAACAAACAATACCTCCCCCCACCAAAAGAACAACAAAAAAACCAAAAAACCCCCAACCACCTTGTAACAAGGGAGAATACCCCCAGCCTAGCCTCTTACTGAAAGGCAGAATCTGTAAGGGGTACCCTGTTTATCAGTAGCCTAAATGATAGTGTTTTATATCATTATTTTCAGCATCTCCCTTGCCCCTCTTTCAGTAACTGCTAGTGTTCAATAGTTTGCAAAACTGTTCCAAGTTGAAAAATAATCTTAGTTTATAATTTATATAGTAGCTCAGTTTGCACAGTTGATTATGCTATGCATTCAAATTCATTGGAGAACTGAAAGTTACTAAAAGATCATCATCAGTCTTATCCAGAAAATACATTCAAATTCTTAAGATCATATTCTGAAATATTTTGTTTGACCTGGAGGTCAGTTAGTATTTTCATTGCCATTATTCAAAAATATGTTGGCATAATATGTAATTTATTTTTTTGGTCTTCTTCAGTGGATGTTTTGACTGTTTCTAGTTTCTTTATGTATCTACAATATATGTACAGTGACGATGTGATAAAACTGTGTGTGTGTTTATCCTTTTAGGGTGAATTCCCCAAAATGGAATTGTTGGGTAAAAGGATAAAAGTTCTAAGGTTCCTGCTACATATTACTTAATTCCTTCTGGAAGGAATTCCTTCTAGAACTTCTTTCCAATTTGCAGTTTCAACAAATAAAGTGTATCTGTATGTTTATAAAAAGGCTTTAAATTCCCAACTCATAAAAAATGTTTATTGAAGAAAAGTTATATATAAAAGCATAAAAATCACTCAAAAATCCATCAACCACAAAAATAAGTATTATTAATAGCTGGTAAACTTCAATTCCAGCCATCTCTCTTAATAATATATATATAATATATATACATAGTTTGACAAAAGTGGGCCCATATACTGTATTTAGCAAATATAGTAAATTTGCTTTCACCTGGACTTAACAGAAGGAAAAATACGAAATTGAAGAAATGCTCAACTAGGAATTTTTTTCTCGTAAAACAAAATCCTGATTCTTTCTAAAATTAAGAATTACTGAAAACACCAAAGAGACTGGTGTTCTTTTTCTGGCTTCAAGTTTTGATTAGACTCCCATCCAGGGAGTCTTGATATGAAAATTGAAACCAGAACACTTAAGAGTTTCTTTACTTCTGTTTATTTCTATGTAGGTAATGTTCATACTTATTTTGAACTTTACAATCATTTCCTGTTTTTTAAATTTTCTAAAGCGTTAAAATTAATACTTTTTAAAAGTCCTTAATTTACTTCTTGTTTAGCTAAGTTTTATTATCAAGGCACATGATTGTATACTTTTCTTACATACTTGAGAATGTCTATTCCCTTGTTATTGTAAAGACAACTTTTGGCAGATTATAAAATTCTTGGCACAATTTTTCTTCAATCTTTGGAGCCTTTTGCTTTATTGCCTTCTACAGATTTGTTGTAAGATCTGAGACTGTCTTGCTTTTTCTTACTATTTGACGTCTCTGTTTGGATTCCATGTAATTTATCATCTTTTTAATTCATCAAAAACAATTCTTGAGGTTGCTTTTCATGTATTCTGAATTATTTCTATAGCTTCTTTATGTTCTTTTCCATTTAAAATTTTTTTTCTTCAACCTATTTTCTGTCTTTATATTTTGTATTTTGTGATTTTTGTTGTTTTGAGATAGGTTCTTTGGTTGAAGTTATCCTCAGCCTCCCAAACAGCTGGAATTCAAGGTGTATTACCACCATACCTGTTTGTATTTTGTGGTTTATAATCAGGTTTTCATTTTCATTTCTTTAGGCTCTCTACCAGTCTTACTTTCCATCTCTTCATGTCTACTTTGAGCCTATATAATTTATACTTTTTTGAGTGTGGAGAATATCCTTTCAGTCTTTTTTGAGGGAGTGGGTAGCCATCTGTGATCATTCTTTTCTGATTAATGCTTATTTAAACTTAGGTTAATCTACTAAGAACAGGAAAAGACTTAGAGAAATGAACTTGACATTGGGTTGTTATATTGGACCTTTATCTCCAAATGTATTTCCTGTGTCTGAGACCACATCTTCCTTCATTTCTTAGTATTAAGTTAAATATGCTTCTAAGTATAGGTTGTAGCCAAAGTTTTAATGTGACCATTTCAAGGCCTCACCGAATAGGTAATACATGGATGACATAAATGGCTTTCAGTAAAATTTGCCCTTGAACTATCAATTCGTCTGCAATCCTGCAATTACAAAATAGTCCCTAAACAGATGTTCAGTGTGTCTTACTCTTATCTCCTCTGTCCTAATTAAAGAAAGGGGGCTGGAGGCGAGGCTCAAGCAGTACAGGTCTAACCCGCCTAGTAAGCATGAAGCCCTGAGTTCAAACACCAGTAACCAGAAAAAAAATTTTAACTTAAAAAAAAAAAAAATAGGGACATGGTATTTTTTGCTGTAGGTCGTTTATGCTACCCTAGTTTTGATCCAGATTTCACCATGTCTAAATGTTTTAAAATTTATTGGGAACATTTCTTATTAAAACTTTGGTTTTTTGTGGGTTTTTACTTTACTACTAAATTTTAAAACTATACTGATGCTGCTTGGTTGGTCCATAGGTTATTTAGCCAGAAGATACTTGTTTCCACCTAGATCACCTTAGTAAAGAAATAACTGCTGAATCTGTAATAGACTTAAGATGCATATATCTTAATATAATCTCATATATATGTATGTAAAAAAAATACACACACTATAAGCCATGATACATACTCTTATAAGACAACTTTTATTCAGGTATCATGAGCAGAATAACTGAAGAATATTAAAGCTTAACTACATAAAAAAAAAAAACTGCTTTAATATTAGTGTAATAGCCCTTTAGTTCGATTCTGAACTGCAATAGAAATGCTTATCCTATGACCAGGTAACTTCCCAAGCAGCTTAATCTTGTAAGGCAGTTGTTCATCACAATTCCTCCCAAGATCAGAGTTACAAAAGTTATTCATCCATTCCTTCCCTACCACTCCCCACCCCTTTTTTTTATGGCACTGGAGTTTGAACTCAGGGCCTTACAGCACTCCACCAGTCCTTTTTTTGAGATATGGTCTTTGGAACTCTTTTTCTGGGGCTGACTTTGAAGTGAGATTTTCCAAATCTCTGCTTTCTGAGTAGCTCGATTATAGGCATGAGCCACTGGTGCCTGGCTCATTTTTCCTTTTTAAAAATTTTTAAGGTAATTACAAGTAAAAACAACTTTGCTAGTAAAGACCCTAATACTCTGGAATATCGGTACTCATGGGAGTCCTTACTTTACTTCTGTGTCCTTAGGCTCTTGGTGTCTTTAATCTACTCTTGTCTCCCAATTCTTGTACTTTTGGAATGGCTTGTTCCAATATTAAATAGGTGACTTAATATTTTTTGTCACCAGTGTGTTGCCTATGGTGTTTACTTTTCTATCTATATACACTCCTTAGGCAATTTTGTTAATCTGGCCTAAATCCTTACACTGAATGTAGGCCCTATTTCTGACTGTTTGGGTAACATATTACTTCAAATTAAGCTTAAGCCGAATACATCACCTTCATTACCACCTCAACCCTCATTCTCTTCTAAAAGCTGTCCCTTCCTGATGTATTTTATTTATGTAGTTTATATTATTTTTTGGTGGCAGTGGGGATTGAACTCAAGGATTCGTTGCTAGGCAGGTGTCCTACTACTTGATCCATGTCCCCAGCTCCTGATGTATTTTACAGCACTACTTTCTAGCAACTAGGTCAAAAGCCAAGAATAGTATTAGATACTTTCCTTTCCATTAAATATTTTTCAGTCCCATTGTACTATTTCTGTTAACCAGTCTTGAGTAATACCAATATTTATTGGATAAAGGCTGTCTGAACCTGGAATTCAAGGCCTGTGAGGAAGAACAAATGGCACTATACAGATGGTAGAATACTTGCCTAGCATGCTCAAGGCCCCGAGTTCAATCCCTCATACCAGGGCGGGAGAGGGAGAGGATGAGGGGAGAAACGGCCCAAATAATGTATCCACATACGAGTAAGCGAATTAAAAAAAAAGAATCCCTCATACCAAAAATAATAATTAAAAAAAAAAACAAAAAAAGTAATGAATGTTAAGTGTTGTTATTATCTGTTGAGCTGTACAATGAGACTATAAATATCCAAGTCTTTGCCTAAATGTATTGTGTTCTTCAAAAATTGCTGCTAACCAATCAGTTTTCTTGTTTATTACTACTTCTGCTAGAAGAAAAAAGTTAGGAATTACTGTTTTATAATTTCACCTTTGAATAACAACACAAATCCCAAGATTCTCAGAGCAGTTCTAATTATACTGCAAACCAAAAACCAAACTTTAGAAAAGTGGCAGATGTGTATGTCAAGTTTAATAACAAAAAGGGAAAGCATCACAAGATGTCCACATTCTTTCCTTCTCATTCATATCACTCAATCCCCAGATATTTTCTACCCTCATAACTTTGAATACAGTCAGTTGGTTTGGTCAAGAACTGACCTAAGGAAACATCATCCCTCAAAGATGTTGATTACAATTGAAAAAGAGATACAAAATTCAGCACCTCTTTCATTTAAAAAAAAAAAAAAGTGTAGAAACTTGGTAAGAAAAACTAAAATATTCTTACAGCTGCCTGGAGAGCAGATCATCTTAACCTTTCTACCTAAACAGATGCCCTCATATCCCAGAAGGCCATTGGACTAAAATCCAATTCAATCCTTTACTCATTCCCTCTCCGGCTCTTCTTGTGGCTTTTCTTAGACCTGAAATGGAATATATGTAAGTCATTAGAGAACAAATAAGGAAGAAAGACCATGGTATGCTAACACTGATGAGGACAGATATGACAACTAATATTCATTAAATATACTTGATTTATAATTCTTTCTTAATGCTTTAGAGTAATACTCTAAGCCATGCATTACTATATAAAATTTACCACTGAGAAAATGATCTCTTCAGAGCTTAAAAATGCACTTAATAGCCTGTGACCCACTGGGGTTCCTAATGAAAGATCAAATGAAATGACTTGTCCAAGGTCATTTAACTGGTAAGTTTTAACAGTTGCTTCTTAAAACCCAGGTCTCCTGAGACCACAGCTTCTCCATCATCCAAAGCTACAAAGAAAAAGCAGTATAGAAGAGATACAATCTTAACAATACCCAGAGCGAAAGGCCTTATTTTGTCTTTTTATGGAGAATTGCCAGTATCCCCATCAAAATAAAGAAAATTTCAGGTCTAACTTGGTATTGTTTTTTTTTTTTGGTGGTCCTGGGGGTTGAATATGGATCCTCACACTTGCCGGGCAGGAGTTCTACCACTTTGAGCCACTCTGCCTTCTCTGTTTGTGTTGGTTATTTTTGAGACAAGGTCTTGCTTTGATCCTCGTATTTGTGCTTTCCTATGTAGCTGGGATCTCACCACATTGGTAGAGATGGGATCTAATGAACTTTTTTCCTTGGGCTGACCTCAAATTGTGATCCTCCCAATCTCTCCCTTCTGAGTAGCCTGGATTATAGGTTTGAGCCACCATGGCCATTAATTTCTAAATAAAGATTTAAATTTTTTTTTTTTTTGGTGGTACTGGGGTTTGAACTATGGACCTTGCACTTGCTAGGCAGGTACTCATACCACTTAAGCCACTCCGCCAGCCCCAAGATCTGAATTCTTAAAACAGAAGTCAACCCATACCTTTCAGGAGACTTGGAGTGGCTCCTATGTCTGTGACTACGGTGATGACCTGTGGGAAAAAGGGGATGAGTCAGATTCTACCCTCCTCCTCTTAAATTGTAATTCTCACCTTCTCCAATTCCTTTCATAGACTTAATACTTTCTTTGACCTATATTGGTGTTCCACCTCCTGGAAGCACTTTCCGGTTGGTACACACCTGATGTGTGGCAGGGCACATACTGATGAAACCACTTCACCTCCATTTGGGGACTTTCGGCTAATTTTACAACATAACATTGTTTTTCTTCCTAACCAGTGTTATATCTTACTCCCATTCAGATGAAAAAGTGAAGCCCATCATTGTATCATCAAAGCTCCTAGGAGTCAAAATGTGAGCCCTAATTTTCAAAATCTATGTCCATCTCCCTGTTAGACAATAGTACAGTTAAGCAATCCTGTATTGATGGTGGCTCAATATTTCTTGGTTAAGATAAGCAACAGCAAAAGGCCCAAATGCTATACCTGGTGATTTGGAGCGGGATCTGTGCCTTCGATCTCTAGACCTACTCCGATGGCGTCTTGGACTCTTGCTACGATGTCTTTCTCTGCGAGGTGAGGGGCTATGGAAAAGACTGGTCAGCCCACCAGATCTGTTTGGCAACAATACACACAATACCAACTCTCCCTCCCAAAACCCTCTCTTTCAGAAATGACTGAAAGCCCACCTTCTTCTCTTGGGTGATCGACTCCGCCTAAAGAGAAAGAGAAGAAGCCTAGGTTAGTGCACTGTATGTTGTAAGCTGCAAAATGGCCCAAATTGTTACCCCCCTCCTTGGGGTATATTTGTGTGCACTGGGGATTGACCCCTGATTTTTACTCTTTACCTTTTTGTGTTTTGATGTCCTTTGTCATGTAACCTTGTAGCACTTAACTCTGGGACTGGCCAGAGGTTTGCTTTTGCCAATGGGGTATTTGCAAATGTGATTCAAGCAGATACTAGAAAAATGCTTACATCAATGGCTCTGTTTGCTCTTGAACTCTGTCACTATCATGAGAACATAACAACTTACCCTCTTGGAGGATGACAGAGACAGAGAAGCTGCTCTAGCCATCCTTGCTAAGGTTAACCTGTACTAGCTAACCTTAAGAAACAGTTGACCAGAAAACAGATGAGCAAACAAAGCTCAATTCAAAATTCTAGGCTATAATGCTTAGTCTCCCTGGAGGAGGCCAATGACTGCACCCTTACCTTCTGGGAGACCGACTCCGGCTCCTCCTGTAGCGCAGTGTGGGAGAGCGCCGTGGCTTGTCCAAGTCTCGGTAGCTTCTCCGGCGGTGATCAGGTGATGGTACCCTTTCCAACTAGAAACAAGAGCAATGGGTCAGTGATGGGCACATGCTTACTACAGACATCTACCCAGGCCTGGGAACACTGATTTATTGTCTCCGCCTCAGAGTCTGTCTCCAGGTAACTTTAAAACAAAGTAATTTGATTACATGGAGGGATAACTCTAAAGACAAAAAGAACTACAAACAAGTAAACTGTGTGCAATAATTCCTTTGTTGTTCCAGTATTGGTATTACTACTTTGGGAATGTGGAATATATTAAGAGACGTGATTATGTTTATTTCCTTAAGTTTAATTCCCAATGTGAAAGAAAAGATCTAGATGTAAAATCAACAAGGTTAAAAAATTTTCATCATAGCTCTGCCAACTGCAAAGGCCCAGCAACACTGACTACTTTTACTTCCTGGTTGTGGTATCTAAATACCATATATGATTAGAAAATACTTAAGGACTTCGTAGAGAAATGACTAATTCCAGGTCTGGGGCAAAAGTGTACAAGATGTGACTAGCACATGCCATTATATGAAAAAGGAAGAAAGCTATCAAAGATTGCTATGACTGTATCAAGAAATCTCAGGAGTTAAGCTGGAGAGTCCTCTACTGGCCAGAGATCGGACATTTTGAACACCAGTATGGGTAACAGATTAAAACACCAAATTTGTCTAAATTCAGAGGTTCATATCATTTTCAAAGGAAAAAGAGCATTACCTTGGGAGGACACTGTAGAACCAACTCAGTATTTTAAAAGACTTGGCAAAGGAAAAGAATTATTTCTCTAGCCTTTTCTATATAAACAAAATGTTGATTTAGGAAGTTTCTCTTTATGGGAGTGTTCCAGATAAAAATGCTGGAAGAAATTAAAGATTTAGAGTATATCACCATTTTATAACACCTAATGAATCTAGGCACTGATAGATCAGTGGATCCTAACATTAAGTGAGACAGGCAGACTGCACATCCCAGTGGATGTACATACCATTCCCAAGACACTGCTCTACTCCAAAGGAGATAAAACCCCTGAAATCTGATTAAGCCTCTAGATCTACTAGGCAGTTTATAGAAAACACAAAGGACACATGAGGATATTAAGTAACATTACAGTGCTAATATCAGAAAATTACAGGCTGAAAATCTGTACAGGATAAGGATAAATAACTCGATATATTAACAAAAAACTGTGAGAGAAAAAGAGTGATAGAGGTAACTTAAATGACACTCAGGAGACAAAAACCACAAGCAATGTTTGGCTTGTTTAAATACCCATTAAACTATTAAAAAATACTGTTAAGACAGCTAGCAAAATGTGAACACTAAACACTTGATGATACTGATTAGGGGAGGGAGATGATGGTGGTTATGCTTAAGATGGGAGCCTCTGTCTTTTCTGAACTAATGTACACGATACGTCTGTGATGAGTTTCAAAATAATTGGCACTGCATAACTGGGTAAGAAATGTAGAGGAAACAAAATTGAGTATAAGCTGTAATGGGTATATGGAGGCATTTTCTCCACTTTCATATGTGATTGAAATTTTTCATTAAAGAAAGAAAAAAAAGAATGCCTACTTTTGGCTCATTTCCCAGAGAAGACCACCTTAGCTTTGCAAAGACTTTAAACTCATGGAACACTGCCTCCTGAACTCACTTTAAAGACAGCCTAGAGACTCAGCAATGTACTTCTTTTTGCACTGCCTCAGTATCCATAAACTAGTATTTCTACTTCCCTTACTGCTTTTTGTGTATTTTTAATTTCCTGAGGCAACTTCCAACTATATAGCAAGTTGCCAGTCTGGGCTAGTCATATTATTTCCCAAAATACCAATTGTTTTTTTTGGCAGGTTCTAATACAGAGTTGCTTAGGTTTGGAGTAGACTGCTCTCTAACATTGTGTCCCCTATATGTCCTATTAATTTAAGTGTGCATTTTGTAGAACAGGACATTTTCCACATGTCACATATAAGGTTTAGAACACGTGTGATGTTATAGTTCAAAGACTTGTAAGCTTACTGGTGTTTTTATTGGGAACCTACTAAATTTATAGATTATTTCTGAGAGGGTAGATATAATATTTAATCTCCTATTTTTCATTCTGTTCTCAATAGCACATTAAATTAATGCCTATTTCTTAAGTTTATGTCTAGTTTTTTTAAATTTGTTTTGAGACAGGGTCTTGCCCAGGCTGGCACTGAACGTCCAATCGTTCTGCCTCTACCTCCCAAGTGGTGGATTATAGGCCTACACCACCAAAGCCAGTATTTATACCTAGTTTTTAAAATCCTTTTTTTTGGGGGGGAGGGTATTATGGTTAGACCTCCTTTTCTATACTTTCTAAACTGTAAATGAAAAGTATGATTTTTTTTCATATTGTTTTTATCCAGCTGTCTTTCTGACCTTTTACCTACAGTAGTTTTCAGATGATTTGGTTAAGATTTTCTTTAGCACACTGATATCCTCTACAAGTAATAATATTGCCCCTCCTAGCCAATTTATATTTTCATGATTTTTTGTCTACTAAATCAGAAAAAAGAGCTGGAGGTGTGGCTCAAGTGGTAGAGTGACTGCTTAGCAAGTGTAAGGTCCTATGTTTTAAAAAAAAAAAAGTCTACTATAGCAGAGAGCTTTATTTTGTTCTCTTACTGGGAATGTTCCCAATGATTCACTATTAAACAGGTTGTAAAACAAGGTGCTGAAAAAAAAAGATGCTATATTCATGCACTAATAATACTAAACTTTGAGTGTTATAGCTTAAAAAGAAACTTCTATATTTTCAGAACAATAAATATCTAACTTTTTGAGAAAAAAATGGTAAAAATTACAACACAGAACTTCTGGTGTTTGGCTTTCTAGCTCTTATAAGGAACCATAAAGAGCCTCTCAATGTAGAAGCAAGCCATGTGGTAGTACATGTGCTAGTCTTACAAGAATTGGGGAAGTTCTTCATGTATTCCCTCTTGAAGAACAAACTAATGAAACAAAAATAAATGATTGTGAGCTGGTGACTGCACAATGAGGTGCTAGGATCAGAATAAGAAGAATCTAGGAGAGTAGAGTTGACTGAACACAAATGCCAGTAGACACAATACTTCAGCAAAAAAGAACTTTCCCAAAACACCAAGGCAAGAGTGTCTAGGACTCAGGCTGAACCAAAATTCTTAAAGAAAGCTGAAGACATACCAGTTAATAGTGTGTCTAACTCCCTGTAGAACAGAAATAGTCATGTGCTACATAATGGTGCTTCTGCCAATACATGATACACGGGTTATATCTATCATGGTGGTCCTGTAATGTTGTGATGGAGCTGAAAGATTCCTATCACCTAGTCATAGCTGATATATTACTCACAGGTAATATTATGGTGATGCTGGTGTACACAAATCTATGCTACTAGTCATACAAATATCTAGCACCTACAATTATTTGCAATACATATAAAAATTATTTTTAGAATGCATTCCCTTCTACTTATTAATCATTTTTGAAGGAGAACTTCCATCTTCAGTTTACCGTCTTATCGGTGAAGTGCAAACATCACTAATCACCAGAGAAGGTAAGACACCATCACTGAGAGTCAGCAGCAGCATCTATCAGAAGCAGACACCTCTAGGACTGATAGTGAATTACTGGAGACAAAATATGAGGTATGTATGAAATGTTTATTTATTTGGCAGCACTGGGGTTTGAAGTGAGGGCCTCACGCTTGCTAGGCAGGCATTCTTACCGCTTGCCTAGCTTACCAGCCCTTTTTTGTGATGGGTTTAACAGGGTCTTTTGAACTATTTGCCTGAGATTGGCTTCTAACCATGATCTTCCTGATAATTGCCTACTGAATAGGATTACAGGTGTGAGCCACTGGTACCCGCCAAGAAATATTTAACGAAAGGCACAAACACAGAGGTGAAAAACAACAGATACTTAGGAAAGAATGGATGTATTTTAAAAAAAAAAGGAATATCTAGGAAAGAAAACCAACTTATAATAGAAACATCTCAAAGTAGATGAAGGAGCTGATTCGATGTAGCAGGAAAAGTAGGTGAACTGGAAGGTTCACTTGAAGAAGTTACTCAGAATACAGCATAGAAACAAGACAGAAAAAAAAAGTAAAGAAACAGAGAAAAATGAATCAAGTAAGAGCTTAAACAAATCTAAATGGGATCCCTCAAGGAGAAAATGGAGACAGTATAGACAGGACAAAGGATTTTTTTTTTTTTTTTTGGTGGGACTTGGGTTGGATTTTCTCTTTGTGAAGCAGGTGCTCTAACCACTTAAGCCATACCTTCAGTCCAATTGCTGTGGTTATATTTGGAGATGGGGTCTTGCAAGTTATTTGGGGTGGTCTTGAACCTCTCTCAGCCCCAAGTAGCTAGGATTACAGGCATGAGTCACCAGAGCATGGCTAGCCAAAAGATCTTACTATTCTAGAACTGATGAAAAACATCTAGGAAGCAAAGTAAATCCCAAAACTAAATATATAAAAGGAAATTCAAGCCTTCAAGAGATTAAAAAAAAAACCAAAACAGCAAAATAACAAAAGAGAAAATCTTAAAGCAATAGGGAAAATACACCACAGATCACTATCAAAGAAACAATAATTAGAATAAAAACATTCTTCGTGATAATGTTTGGCAGAATATTTTTAAAGTGATGTGAGAAAATAACAATCTAGAATTGTGTACTCACAAACTGCATCTTTTAAGAATAAGAGTAAAATAAAGGAAGCTACAGAAGTGGGAATTCAAAAGAATTCCAGAAGAAACAAGGGTTTTATCGATGGGTTCTGCATTCACAGAATCAACCAAAGGGGATCAAAACTACTCTGGAAGTCAGTTACATTGGCATGTGCTCTATAGTTGACCTAGTATGGTCCTTCGAACCGGCTCCAACTTGTTATGCCAGTGGGTGTCAGCACTGAGCACAGGCAGTGGAGTCACCTGTGAACAGCCATATTCAGCCATATCAACAAGCAAAGGAAGGTAACTTGAAAAGGTGACATTGTCATTGGTTGCTTTGACATTATGCAATACTATGGTTTTTAGGGGAGAGGAATATAAAGTGTTAGTACTTTCTGGGAAAAATTCCTGTTCCATTGATTTAAATTTAAATAGAGTTTTGGTTTTAATTCAGTGTCTTCCTTGAAGAAGTTGCAAGGAATTTTCCTACAGCCTTTGATTTCATGTCAAAATTAAAAACAGAAAAGGTTGAGAGTGATTTAATAAATTATACTCTACTTCCATAATACACTGTGATGCTGAAAGATAGAGTACTGAATATATATGGACTTAATAGGATTATGCAAATGTTAACTGCTTCATGTTGACGAACTTAAATTTTTGTAATACTAAATCTGTGTTGAAGAACACATTAACTCTGTATCTTGTATGAATTTAAAAATATATGATACTTAAATAAAAAAAGTTTTATAGAAATAAGCATTAAAAAAAAAGAAGGGTTAAAAGAAATGTGGTTAGAGATGCAGAAAGGATCAAACAGTATACATACATATAAACGCTGACAAATGCCTACAAAAATAATGTTGAAGTTTAGTGATTTAAAAGGATTAAATCCTGGACAAGAAACATATGTAAATTGGAACAGTTCTGAGGGTTATAAGTGGAGTTAAGCAATGCTATATTCTTCTGCATTCTTTTGGAAGAGAGTATTTAAGATATTATTTAATTTTAGACTGAGTATTCATGTAAAAATGTCAAGAGTAAAACAGAAAGGAAGACAAAGAACAGAATAGGAAAAAAAAAAAAAAAAAAGACCAAACCAAAAGGAATGTACAAATAAAAGAAACAGGATAAACATGAAAAAGCTCAAGTGTCACAAGTGTAAAATGTTGTAAGTGTCCTAAGCACAATAGTAAGAAGCAGGTTGTCAGACTGGATGGGCATACACATAAAAGTGAACAAGTCCCTAAAAAAAATATAATTTAGCAGCTGGGTGCAATGGCACATCCCTCTAATCCCAGCATCTGGGAGACTAAGGCTGGAGGATCACTTGTGCTCATAAGTTTGAGACCAGCCTGAGCAACAAAGCAAAGCCCCCATATCTCAAAGAAAAATGTTATGTGGTTTGTATGTACGTGCATATACAATACACTAAGTATTTTATATATTGTATATAATAAACATATATAGCTAGCAAAGCCAATTAGAAAAGCCAGAATTTTCCTGTAACTATTAGTTACTGATGTAGTAATTAAGTCTTTCTTTAAAGAAAGCACCAGGCCCAGTTTTTTCAATAAATTTCTCCTAAACATTAAGAAACATCATTTCAATCTTAAATACTGAATTTTTCTACAGCATACAAAAAAAGGGACTAATCCTTAACTACTTCTATGAGTCCAATGCAATTTTGATAGGAAAGAGTAGAAAGATATCATGGGAAAGGAAAAGTATGGACCACTATCACTCATCAACAAATATTTCAAAGTATCAGCGAACCTAATGTAGCACTGTATAAAAAAAGATAAACCACAATCAATTGGATTTATACCAAAACTGAAAGGTAAATTAACAAGTCTATAAATAGCAGTTATCTCATTAACTGATAAAGGAGGAAATCCATATAACCTTAACAAATGGCAGGAAAAGCACATAATAAAATACTCCATTTATGATTAAAAACTCACAGCAAACCAGAAAAAGAGAATTTCCTTATGTAAAGCTAGATGTGATGGTGTATGCCTGTAGTCTCAGTAACTCAGGAGGTAAAGACAGGACAGCAGGATCAAGGTTCAAGGCTAGCTTAAACAAAGTTAGCAAGACTCTACCTCAAAAACAAAATATAAACAAAAGGGCTAAGGGCATAGTTCAAGTGGCAGAACACTAGCTTTGTATGTTTGAGGTCCTGAGTTTAATCCCTAGTACCACAAAACAAAACAAACCTGCAGGTGTCTAGGCTTCACTCTAGACCAACTGAACAGGAAGTCAGGGGATTAAGACCCCAGCATTATATATTTATAAAATACCCACATGGGCTGAGGATATAACTCAGTGGTAGAATGCTTGCTTAGAATGTTGAAGGCACTGGGTTCAATCCCCAGCACCGGAAAAAACAAAAAGCAAAGCAAAACAAAAACCCCGTATCTTCTTATTAGGTGTCTACAAGAAACCGTAGCAAATGAAATTCTTACCTAGGAAATGGCACAAGTATTACTTTTAAGGTGGGAACAAAACAAAGATGTTCTTTGTCACTGTTTCAATTTCATGGTACACTAGAAGTCCAAGACAAGAAACAAATTAAGGGCATAAAGGTAAGGAAGAAACCAGGCTATATTATTCCAGATAAAGACTGTTTACATAGGACTTCCCAATCTACACAGTTTAGTCATTCACCAGTAAACTGCATTTATACAGATACTGACAAGAACAACAAAAATGAAAAGGGACCTAGAAACCTGTGAGAAATAGTCAGGAAATTATAAAAGTTTAGACATAAAACTTCTGTAAGTCTTTAAAGACATAGATAAATGGAAAGATACACCATGTTCATGAGTAAAGATGTCATTTTCATTTTTCCTGAAAATTCAATCTCAGATTGAATATAATTTTAATCAAAATCCCACATTTCTTGGTATCTATACACAATGGAATTTTATGCAGCCATGAAGAAGAACGAAATGTTATCATTTGCTGGTAAATGGATGGAATTGGAGAACATCATTCTGAGTGAGGTTAGCCTGGCTCAAAAGACCAAAAATCGTATGTTCTCCCTCATATGTGGACATTAGATCAAGGGCAAACACAACAAGGGGATTGGACTATGAGCACATGATAAAAGCGAAAGCACACAAGGGAGGGGTGAGGATAGGTAAGACACCTAAAAAACTAGCTAGCATTTGTTGCCCTTAATGCAGAGAAACTAAAGCAGATACCTTAAAAGCAACTGAGGCCAATAGGAAAAGGGGACCAGGAACTAGAGAAAAGGTTAGATCAAAAAGAATTAACCTAGAAGGTAACACCCACGCACAGGAAATCAATGTGAGTCAATGCCCTGTATAGCTATCCTTATCTCAACCAGCAAAACCCCTTGTTCCTTCCTATTATTGCTTATACTCTCTCTACAACAAAATTAGAGATAAGGGCAAAATAGTTTCTGCTGGGTATTGAGGGGGGGGAGCGGGAGGGGGTGGGGGCAGGGGGGAGAAATGAACCAAGCCTTGTATGCACATATGAATAATAAGAAAAATGAAAAAAAAAAAAAATCCCACATTTCTTTTAAATTTGGCAAGTAGATTCTATCATTCATAAGAGAACAATGGACCAAAACCAGCAAAGACACTACTGAAGAAGAAAGTGGAAGAGGCCCTTGCTCTACTAAATATCATGACTCGTTATGAAGCAATCAGGACAGAGTGGAACTTGCACAAAATGGCCAGCAGAAAAAATACCAGAAACAGATCCACACAAAGTGGCAATGCAGGTAGGTGAGGAGAGAATGGGGGTTTTAAAAAACAGGACCATTGGTTATCCATATTGAAGAAAAATTATTAGATCCCTATTTCACTACAGATACAAAAATCAATGAGGTCAACATTTTTATTGTATTTCCTTCTAGCCTTTTTCTATGCATACTGTTATTTGTAATTTTAATCACAAATGTTTTAGTTGTTTTTATTTTAAGTTAATGTAAGCACTTCCCACATTCTTTTCATAAGGAATTATATATATATATTTTGGCAGTAATGGACTCTACCCCTGGAGTCATCCCCAGTCCTTTTTGCTTTAGTTATTTTTCAGATAGGGCCTAAAATTCTGTTACTCCTCCCACATAGCTGAGATTATAGTTGTGAAACACCATGCCTGGCTTATTCTCTGAGATAGAATCTCATTAACTTTTTTGCTTAGTTGGCCAAGAACCGAGATCCTCCTGACCTAAGCAGCTGGGATTACCAGGTCCAGCCTCTTTTTGCAATAATTTCATTGGCTCCTAATTTTCTATTGAATAGATGTAACAGTTTTTCTGACTGATTACTGACAGCTGGACAGCTTGGTGGTATTCAACTTTTTGACATTATGACTAGTATTGAAAAAACCATGACTATGCAGTAGGTATTTCCCTCCTACTGCCACCCAAACTAGGTTTATTGCTAAAACTATGAAAATTGTTTTGTCCTCCAAGTTTTTATTTTAATAGCTACCAGTTATTACGCAATTATTTGGCAATACTATGCTAAGAACTTTATATATATTAGTTCATTTAATATAACAGTCTTGAGAGAAAAATAGTATCTTTGCTTGACTGAGGAGAAAACTAAGGTTAAGTAATCTGCACACATTATATCACTAGTAGGGGGTTTGGAGTATTGCTCAGAGTGCTTAGAATGGGTGAGGCTGTGAGTTCAATCTCTAAGCACCAGGAGGAAAAAAGGAACGTTAAGATTATACCACTATTATGGCAGAGTTGAGCTATGAATTAAGGACTATTGGACTTTAAAGTGCATACTTTTATAGTTTTTTGTTTTGGGCTATCTTTTTTGTTGTTCTTACTGTTGTTAAACAAAGTTAAAAAATTAAAGTCTGAAAACAAGAACAAAAAAGAACCAAGTCCAACCTCCCCCAAGCCTCAACTCTCAGGTGACTCACCTTCTCGTCTTCCTCTTCTTCCTCTTCACTGGACTCCACATCATCCATGTCCTCTTCTAGAGCACTAACTCGAGGCTCCAGCTGCTCAGCTTCCTCTAGCACATAGCGTTTCTACAGGTAACAGTGAAAGTTAGAGGTCACTCCCATCTCCCTATGCCCTGAAGCTCCAACATTCAGCTTCTGGGATTGACAGAAAAGCCATGGAAAAACACCTGTGGTAATTTCATTATAGTCTGAGATTTTCCTAAGGAGTAAAATATACCTGGAATCTACTTTTATGTTGCCATATGAACACAAACACAAACACAAAGCTGACAGGAACAAGATCATTTTCCATTGGTTCTATTTCCTGTTATCTTATACTTTTTATTTTTATTTATTCATTTATTTTTTGAGGTGCGTGGCTTGAACTCAAGGTCTACACCTTGAGCCACTCCACCAGCCCTTTCCTGTGATGGATTTTTTTGAGACAGGGTCTTGTGGAACTATTTGCCTGGGATGGCTCTGAACTTTGATCCTCCTGATCTCTGTCTCCTGAGTAGCTAGGATTACAGGTGTGAGCCACCAGTGCCTGGATGTCATTTTATAGTCTTAAGGTTACTGGAGTATTAATCAGTATATGTGTAGCCAAAAATGTGAAGCTCATTTTTCTGGCTTTTATTTGATAGGATTAAAAGTGGGTCACTGTGGAAGAAATGATTCTCTGAATTAATTGTGAGCATTATCTACCAAATACTTTTATACAACTGCCTTATTGCCCTGAGCAAGTTTATCTCACCCATTTGTCAATGGGTGTAATGCAGTTGAGGTCTTTCTGATCCCTTTGTCTTTCTTTTTTTAAGACAGGGTCTCATTGGCCAGGAACTTGCTCCATAGCACAGGCTGGCCTTAAATTCAAGATCTTTCTGTCTCAGTGCTGGGATTAAAGGTGTGTTCCATCATGCTGGAGACCTTTCTGCCTTTTTTTTTTTTGCTTTTAAATAGATGAAATTGGCATAATTTTTTTCTTCTTTTGAGGTGCTAGGGAATCAAACCTAGCACATGCTAGACAAGTGCTCTACTACTAAACTTCAAACTAGCCTTACAATGTTACAATGTTCTATAATCATTACCTCTCTCTGAGTTAAACTTTTATCAGGTTTGGGATGTAGCTCAAGTAGAAGAGTGCTTGCCTAGCATGTGTGAGGCCCTGGGTTCAATCCCTAGTACTTAAAATAACAATAAGAAAACCACCCCTTCCCCACTTTTAAATCATCCCCAAAAAACTGCTCCACACCCATTATGTAATCATTCCTCATTATCCTCTTCCTGAATGTTATATTTAGTACTAATCACCATGGTTTGCCTTGTCTGGATATATTATATAAAAAGAACCAAACAGTATGTGACTTCTGATCTTCAAAATATCCCTTTTGGCTTTTATCTAACTAGGAATCATACATTTTAAAGCAGATGTTATATAACAAATTGTTTCAGAATTACTGAGTTGCAGGAGCATCAAAAAGAAACCTGAAGTAGATAACCGACCTGTTGGGGTTTCCTTGGTTGCTTAAATGTGTAAGAATTTGTTTTTATCACCTATCTACAAACTACCTGAGACCTTTTAGTTAATGCTATCAATCCTGACAATAGATAGACATATACAATCACAGAACAGTAGAGCTGTGTGAGCCAAAGACCTGTAGTCTTGAATCTATTCCAGTGATTTTCACTGTTTTAAAGTTTTATTGAGGTTTAATTGATAGACCATTAATTATACATTTTTAAAGTATACAGTTACAAGTGTTGACATGCATTGCATACAACTGTTAAACATTAGCACAAAAACATAATGAATATATCCATCCTGCCCAAAAGCTTACTTACACCATTTTAAATCTTTCATTCCTTTCTCCCCACTCCTTCACCCTGTCCAGAGGCAACCAGTGATCTGTCACGGTGGTTTACACTTACTAAAATTTTATATGAATTTTTTTGGTCTTTTTTTTTTTTTTTTTCACTGCATGATTATTTTACAATTCATCTGTTATTGTGTGAATAATTCATTTTTATGGCTGAGTAGCACTTTGTTGTCTGCATGTATCACAATTTATCTATTTACTTGCTGGTGGACATTTGGATTGCTTCCATTTCTGACCATTACAAACAAAGTAGGCTGTGCATCTCTACTCCAAAAGCTGACACCTTTGACACCTTTTGTGCATCATGCTAGTGTCGTGCACAGGATGGCTCAATATTGGAGCATTTTAGGTTAGGGATAAAGTCTTTGTAAATAGGCTATGTAAATAGTCCAATAGAACCTTTTTCAGATTGGGTTGCCTTATTGCCTTATTATTAAGCACAAATTCTTCATTTGTTCTATATTTAAGACCTTTGTTATTTATGTTGTGTAAATACATTTTTCCAGTGTATGGCTTGCTTTTTATTTTGTATAATACTCAGTTCTGAAAAGCAGATAGATGTTTTAAATCTTGTAAAAGCCAATACATTAATTTTTAAAAAATTCGTATTTTTGTGTTTTATTACAGAAATATTTGTCAAGCACAAGGAACCTCTTAGAAATTTTGTAGTCTTTGCATTCACATTTAAGTCTAATAATATTTATGTAGTAAGATTCCCCTTAAGTTAATTTTTATATATGGTGCGGACTAAGAGTAGAGATTCATTTGTTTGTATATGTTGTTAAATTGTTCCTGCACCACTTGCAGAAAAGACCATAATTCCTCAACAGTATTGCCTGACATGACTGTAGAAAACCAACTGTCTACATATGCTGGGTTTAACTTTGGTCCTTTTACTTTGTTTTACTGATCCATTTGCTTATCATTGTGATACAACACTGTATTGGTTTCTGTAGCTTTATAATAAGTATTTTTTTTTTGGATAGTCTAGGTCCTTTGCACCATGATATAAATTTATAATCAACTTGTCAAGCTTTACAAAAGACTGTTAGGATTTTAGTTGGGATTGCTCTGAAGAGATAAATTTGGGAAAACTGACATCTTAACAATATTAGATCATGGCATGAGCTACAACATCAAAGCAGTGGCCACAAGGGAAGGAACTGGTGGTCTACAGTATACTGTGTTGCCAACATTTTCTGGATACAGATATTCAGTAAATTATATGACATAGGCTTTGTGTGAGATGATTTTGCCCATCTGCGCATGTTTAAGATAGGCTATGCTAAATCACAACATTCAGTAGGTGAGGAGTAGTAAACACATTTTCAACTTACAGTTGGTTTACTGGGACATAAGGAGTACTTGTATACTCCTCAATTGATTTTCTTCAATTTCTCTCAGTAACGCTTGGTATGTTTTATAGATTTAATTGCAAAAGTCTTGCGTATCTTTTGATAAAGTTATCCTATTTTACTTTTTTTTTTTGTGCTACTGAGCCTTCAACTCAGGGCCTACACCTTGAGCCACTGCACCAGCCCTTTTTTGTGATAGGGTCTCATGAACTATTTCCCCAGGCTGGTTTCGAACCTCGATCCTTTTGATCTCTGTCTCCTGAGTAGCTAGGATTATAGGCGTGAGCCGCTGGTGCCTGGCCTACTTTACATTTTTTGATGCTGTTGTAAATGGTATCTTTTAAATAAACTTTCAAACTGAAGTTGTTCATTGCTAGTTAATAGAAATATAAATGATTTTTGGGCTGGGTGTGGTGGCTCATTCCTATAATTCCAATTACTGGGAGGCACTGCAGTTTAAAGTCAGCACAGGCAAAAAGTTAGCAAGACCCCATCTGCACAAATAAGCTCAATGTCATGGTACATGCCTATAATACTGGCTGTGTGGGAGCCAGAGGTAGGAGGATTGTGGTCCTAGGCTGGTCTGGGTAAAAAGACCCTATCTAAAAAATAACCTAAAAAACAGAAAGAGTTGGAGGTATGATTCAAGTAGCAAAGTGCATGCCTAGCAAATGTTAAGAGCCCGAGTTCAAAACCCCAGTACCACCAAAAAAAAAAAAAAAAGTTTTTGTGTATTTTCCTTGTATTCCACAATTCTGCATAAATAGAACAGAAAGCACATCAGTGGTTGCTTAGAGGAAAGGGGTGGGAGGAAGAGATTCGCTATCTTGACTATAGTGATAGTTTCAAGGGTGTATTCATGGTAAAACTTATCTTATACTTTAATTGTATATAGTTTATTTTTCTGTCACTTTTACTGCAACAAAGCCATTCAAAAAGAAAAAAAAAAAAAAAAGCAAGCCCAGTTTGGTAGCATATGCCTGTAATCTCCAGCACTTGAAAAGGTAAGATAGAAGGATCATGAATTCAATGCCAGACTGGGCTACAGAGTGAAAACTTTCAGAAAAACAAACAAAACTTCCTGCTCCAGTGTAATACATAACCTAAAAAAATACTGGGTTGGGATATTTGGGGCCATCTCTACTTGTCACTCTCAGTATCTCTAAAACAGACCTACAGAGCAGTTTAAAGACCACTTAGGGAGTCTGATATTCCTTTTATAGCTGGGGAACACAGAACGTTAGCTCCTTTAATTTCATGTTCAGTCCTCTCTCCCATTATAGTTAGCCCATTCCCTTTCTCCCTAAGATAGCTACCATAGATACCATACCTGTTTTTCCTTTGTATTTTTCAACAGTAGACTTAAATCATAAACACAATCTTGAGGGCAGAGACACAGGTTGATACAGGAAGTTTAAGGAATTTGCTTAGTCTCTCATTCCTAGTCCTTTGTAGCCTTTTTTACATGAAGATCAAATTGAAAATAGCTGGTCACAAGTTTAAAAATCACTACTCTAGCTCTATTATCCTTGATTTAATACCCCCAAAAAGAAAACTTTCCTATGTTAACTATTTACTTTTAAAGCTCTGTCCTTCAAATACTTTATCTGCTTTCTTCTCTCTCCCCATACTCTATATAAAGACTACTTACTAAGACAACCTATAAGATCCAGGGCTTCAGTGTTTCAATAGGTAAGTAGGCTTGAATATTTGCCCGTCTTGGAGGGTAAATGTGGCCCTGAAAAAGACCTCTGTCTCTCACCTGTAGCCGGGGCAGAATGATATCACAGACTCTTTCACTATGCAGTAGCTCATCAATGAACTCATCTACATGCATCAGTTCAAACTCTGAAAGAAAAAGTCATTAGCTCAAGCAACCTGGAAATAACAGGTTTAGATAACGAAAAAGTAAAAGAATTCTAAGACTTTATAAGTGGCATCTACATATCACGGCTCTTTAGGGCTGAATGGAGCTGTCACAATTAGCAGGAGACACAAACACAAAAGCAAGCACAACAGTCCTGAATTTTTATGGTGATTTTGAATAGATCCTATAACTCAAGTTAATTTTAATATGTCACATAACTCAAGTGTAATTTCTCACATAGTATTTCTGAATATAAAACATATCTTTTATGACACATGGTGTGACAGCATTTTAGAATTTCCATAGTACACATTACCTTAGTTTAGTGGTTCTTAAGTACAAGTGATTTTTGTGCACTTCCATTACCTTACTTACAGGAAGTAATACTTGTGTTTAGTGGGGGAGTGGCCAGAGATGCTGCTAATTATTCCCTAATGTATAAGACAAACCCCACAGCAAAATATCTGGCCAAAATATCAACAGGTTGAAAAATCTTTCTTAGTTTGACCTAACAATCATGAATAACAGCCAATGGCCATGACCACGTCCATCTTGTTCACCAACTCATTTCCAGAATCTAGCACAGCACCTGCCATACCACTGACAATATATACTTATTCAATGAACAAATAAGTTAACCGAAGTTTAAAATAATACAAGTTGAGCATCTTTAATACAAAAGCCAAAAATGTGAAATGCTCCAAAATCTGAAGCTTTTGAACATGGACACGACATGCAAAATGTTTCAAATTTTGGAGAATTTCGGATCTCTAGGTTAAGGATATTCTTAAAGTTTATGCAAATATGCCAAAATCCAAGAAACTGAAATCAGAAACATTCTGGTCCCAAGCCATTTTCGATATGGGATACTTAACCCTTACCAAATTGTTAATCTTCTACTACTTATAATGATACATTTGGTGGGGAAAGGCAAACATTACTATCTTTTATTACAACACTTAAGTGAAAAATGGTTTTGATTGTGTTACCCCAAATCCTTCCTTAGCATAGAAGGCATCTCTTCATAAAATGCATGGGGCTGCACCTTTGGCTATTCTTACTATTTTTAAATAGGATTCCTACATAAATAAGAAGCTTGTAAAAAGAACTGTGAAGATGTAATATATGGAAAACTTAATTTGTGTGGATGGGTTAGGGTAGCTTTTACAAAGAAGTCATTCTGGAGCTAGATTTTGTATGTGGAGCATGTCTACAGGGAACATATGATATAAGGCAGTAACGAACATAAGATTCAATTGGGAAGGGTGGCAACCAAGGGCTGACTGGGTAATGCCAAGCAGGAGCTAATAAAAGAACTAATACTCTCCATGAGAGAGATGGACTATTTAGTTGAAGACAGTAATAACGCAGATGGAGAGGAACACTCAGTGTATATGATAAAGCAAGAGTACAGATACTGAGGAAATAAAACCTGGCTTAAGAATAATATCCAGAGAATTGGCATCATACTCACCCCCATTTCGATTCTGGCTCTTGATTTTTCGATAGTCATTGTACAAAGGCTCCAAGTACTTGTAGCAATCAATTGCAGTGCCTGTCAGCCTCATGTAAAGTGCCCCCAACATGCGGACATACCTGACAGAGAGATGACAGTGAAACAACGGGCCATCCTAAGAAGTTCCTGAGTTTTATAACTGGTTTTTATAATGACAGTAGCAGATAAAGGTGTTTCTTTTCCTTGGCAGCCAAGAAAGCTGCAATCATTTTTTTTTTAAAGTGGTCTGGGGCTTGAATTCAGTGCTTTGCACTTGCTAGGCAGGTGCTCTACCACCAGCCTGAAAGCTGCAATTTGTAAGGTAGCATAGAGGAAAAGAGCTAAAATATGGAGACTTGCATTAAGTTCCTATTCTATCAATTACTGGCTGTATGAACTTGATACACACTCTTCAACTTTCAGATACATTACCTATAAAACTTACTTCACATGATTATCCTAGGACTCAAATGAGATACTGAATTTTTTTTTTCTTTGTGGTACTGGGGTTTGAACTCAGGGTCTACACCTTGAACCATTCCATGAGCTACTTCACCAGCTACAATAATTTTTGTGACAGTATTGTAACAAACTCCATAAGGTTTCAAGTTATGGATGCTGAGACTTACTGTACATACATTATAGGTATGGTACAAGCTTAGAGTACTGAGCTCTATGTATCCTGAGCATTCAGTTTTTCCTCAAGGGAGCACTCCTTGGAACCATATACCCACAGATACCATGGGTCTACTATATAGTTAATTAATCTGGGAAATCCTATTTGGAGGAAAAGTCACTAAGACTAAGAAAGTAAAGTAGAAGGTTAATACAATTAGAACAGACAGAATACAAGTTCAAGGGCTAAAGAGCAAATACTTGGAGTGAGAACTCTCTGTGGAAATGAGATACACTGCATTCATCTTTAAAAAAAAAGAAAAGCCCAATTCTGAACCACTAAAATTGAAGCTTTTATATTAGTTAACATTGCACTCACTTGAAATCTTCATTTTTAATGAACTCAACAATGATATCCTTCTCTGGTTGAATCTGTAGCATCTTCAAGGTTAAACACAGAAAGGGTGTTGGTTTTATGTTTCCACCATAGACACCACCCACAAACCTCAACTCCATGGCTTTGTCGACTACAAGTTCCGCTAAAAAATCAAAAACATATACAGTGACATCTTAGACATATTATGCCTATGCTTTTCTTGGTTGCAAGTGGGGACAGTTCAAAGTTTGGAGCTCCTAAATAGTGAACAACAGTTTTTGTTAGAACAAGGATGTATTAATTATAGTAAAATAATGACAACTAATATAAACTGAACGATTACCGTATGCCAGATACTCTACCAAGCACCTCATATAATCTCATTCATTCTTTACAACAAATCATGGGAAAAGTTCGGGCATTGTTCTTAATTCCAGGTAAGGAAAATAAGAGCTAAGAAAGGTTAAGTGCTTTTTGCTCAAGATCCACAGCCAGAGTGCTACTGGACATGAATTTAATGCCAGAGTTTTAACAAACATCAGAAGATTCCTAGGAGGCTTCTCTAAAGAACTTACATTAGATACTATGACCCCAACGTGGATATACTGGAACTGACTCAGATTTAGGGACAGTACGAACTTGGTTATGGGCATAACATTCCTTTAGAACCTTTGGGATGCTACTGCCATGGAGTTCTATCTCGATCCCTGACCTTAACACTGTTTGGATCCCAATATGCTATCACTAATATGAATGACTGAACCTAAATCAGGCACTCTTCAGAATAAGGTAAGATCCTATCAGACTCGTGTCCTCAATGCTTAACACAAGTCTAGACACACAGAAGACACTCAAATTTTCCTGGAAGACTGACATGCTCCCCTCCATACTACCCCCAGGTATCTGTCCTACTCTTACCGCATTGGGAGCAATGGGTCCTAAGGCAGCCTAAACAGGGTCTGCGCTCTCCCACTCACCGGTGAGTCCGAAGCACTCTTCTTTCCAGTACTTGGACTCATAGATTCGCGTCCGAATGATCTTCTCCACTAGATACTGCGGATTGGTCCCATGGATGCTGTGTGCATCCTTTACTGTACGGTTCGCCATTTCAGAACGCCTTCAATTCTATTTCCGTCGGCTCCTTTACTGCGTCACATCCAGGTTTGAAAAAAAAAAAAATGTAAAGCGATGGAGACAGGTGGCGAAACCTTGACTATTTAAGCGACCATCTTGGAGCCGGAAACTGCCCTGTTTGGAACTTCCGTAAGTAGCGCACTAATCGAAACAATGATGGCTGCCTAACGCTGGCGGAAGTACGTCATACGTTCCTTGATGGGCGGGGCGGACTTGCTCGTGACGCAATGCGGAAGCAGCCTGGGGGCGGGGCCACGCCATTTGGCGCGAAATTTTCTTTTCTCCACCTTCTTTGGATTCTTAGACTGGCAGTAACCGTGTCTGCTGCGCGTGGCTGGTAGCTGCTAAGGGGCCCAACTGGAGCAAGTTAGAGTTTCTGCAATCCCTGGAGCTCCCGAAGCGGTGGCGGTGGAACCCGAGGCTTACGGACAGCCTAAGGAAACTTTGGCGCCCGGTGAGTGCGGCGGCCCGCGGGGCCAAAGAGAACGTTCTGTATAGACGTACTCATTGATTCATGCAACTGACATGCACCACGCGCCTTTTAAGTGGCAGGCACTGCTCTAAGCCTGATAGGAGAGGTCCTCTTTTCCACCTCCCGTTTCCTAAAAGACTTACTGCTCTGCCAGAGACTGAGCTGCTTCAGGGGAAGCCGGAAGCCCACGGCAGAGAAGCGTGCACTCAGCGTCCTGAGACCCTCAGCCAATGGTCTTAGCCTTTCCTTCCATCTTCTTTGCCTTTGAGAACCTCTTGCATCCTTTTCCTGCGGAGCGGATGCTGTTAATTCGTTTTACATGTGTAGCAATTGCTCCAAAAGAGAGACTTGTCTAGGTCACTTTTTGTGACTAAGCGTGCCAGGGCTTCTTTTCTTCAGACGAGCTCTTAACTGCTGGGCTTCCATCCACCTTTACAGAAGAGAAGTCCAGTGGCGCCCTTTCTACTTCCTCTGGTCCAACCCAGAATACAAGGGCCTTCTGTCGAGACAATAAGATTCGAGATTCTTATTCTGGTCTACTACCTGTGAAACTGCAGTGTTTAGGTTTGAGTCTAGTTATTCGTAAAATAGGAATACCCTCTTTTCTGCTGTTAGGGCCTAGAGTTTGCAATGAGGGCATGATTTACCAAGTCTCTATCAGGGTGTTTTTTCTTTTTTCTTTCTGTACTGTGGTTTGAAATCAGGGCCTACACCTTAAGCCCCTCCAGCAGCCCTTTTTCGTGCTGGGGTTTTTTCGAGATAGGGTCTCGCGAACTATTTGCCTGTGCTGGCTTGGAACCGCGATCCTCCTGGTGTCCGCCTTCTGTATCAGTTTTTAACTGTGATAAAGGGCAACATGTGGGCTTTTAGAGGGTTTGTGAGTTCCCTAAAATTGAACGCAGCTTTTTGTGTGAATTGACAATTCTAATGTCAAGTTATATTTAAGAAGTAAAACCACTGACCTTTACAAGTGAATGCAAAGGAGTGTGGGAGTGGATTTACCTTTTTTCCCCCTCAGTTAATATTTTATAATCCTAGAATAGTGTCTGGCACACAATAGATACTTAATGAATAATATTGGCTGACTACAAGGAAGATTATATTATCTCCATTTTTGGGGTAAGGAAGTGGACCCCTTATTTAGTGGCTGGGAAGCCTGACTTACTGTAATAAGCCATCAGAAGCAAGCTCTCTCAGATGTAATAACATTATGCAGTTTACCACAGTGTGTTGAAAGGTGAAATAGTTAATGTTAGAAATGAGAGAACCAGTGCGTGGAATGGATAGGCTTATACACCAGTAGGGTTTATTGTGGACAAGTAGCCCTGTGGAGGGGGTCCCCAGCAAGAGAACTGAAGCCCCAGGGAGGTCACTGGATGGGATTATCCTCAGTGAGTCTCTGACCCTCACTGGTCATTCCTTTTGGGCCGTCTGGAGAGTTTTCAATAAGTTACCTTTAAAGGGGAAGGGGTCCAGTTCCAACATGGCTTCCTTTTGTTCACGCTGATAGTTAAGAGCATAGTCATTGGCACCTGGCTATTTAGGGTTTTACTTAAGCTTGTGCCATCCTGTATAGAATTTCACTTAACAAATATTTATCATTGAGCACCTACTTAACACTTAAGCATTGTTCTAGGATTATTTGTAAGAATTAAATGAGCTAAATGTGTGAAGAGTTTTGCCTCAACCTTCTGTCATACTAGCTCACATATTTGCTTTCATTTTTATTTGAACTCCTTTATCTGTTGTTCTTGGGTGTGGCTCCTAGACTGTGTAGTGTGCATATTCCAGATGTCTGGTATCTGACATCAAGACCCTGTACTGGGTGTCTCTTAGAAACCAAATTCTTCATTAGGCCAAGTCAGGCCTGCAAGTTCATTCACCATTCTTCTTGGGAAATCTCTGTATTGAATGGTGGATAAAGTGAAATGTTGGGTGAAGGGTAAGAAAGAGCAAAAAAGTCATTAAACTGTGTATTTATCATTTATGCACTTTTCTGTATGTATGTTATACTTCAATTTAAAGTTCAAAAAATTATAATCAGGAGTCCTGACAAGGCAGCAGAAGGAAATCATAGTAGATCTAGGCTTGTTATACTTTTGGTATGTAATTTCTTTAGTTTGATATCATTTTGTGAGATTTCCCCACATTGTTAGTTAACTGTTTTGCTGTGACAAAATACCTGAGATAACAACTTTTAAAGAGGAAAGATTTATTTTGGCTCATGGTTTCAGACGTTTCAGTCCATGGTCACTTGGCCTGTCACTTTGGGCTTGAGGTGAGGCCTAATGTGGTGGCATCAGTTGGCAACCAAGGCTTTAGCACATGGCCTTTGGAGGATATTTTAGATCCAAACCACAACAGTGCAAAAATGAAGCTGGGTAATTCCATTCCTCTGTTGTGCTGATATTGATAGGTAGCAGTTAGACATAAGCCATGCCCATAAGACGAGACAGGGAAATTATATTATTTTAATAAATATTTAAAGGACCAGACTTTAACATTGAAACAAGGAGATTCCAAAACAGCTAGCCCCCTCCCATTTTTTAGATGCTAAAGTTACAAGAACTGGGAGATAAAGAGGATCCTTGGATGGGTGGAGAAATAATCATGCCTAGGAAAGGGAAGTTCTAAAGTACACCTATTGTCTCTGACTTGGGTGGGTTGTGGGTGTGATTTGGGAGGGTGACCACTCCTTTTTTTTGTCAGCCGTCTCAGCCAACCACCCATTATCTTCAGCCATGTGTGTTTCCCTCAACTCTCCAATATAAAACTAGGAGTTGGGGACCACCATTTTGGGTTTTTGCTCCCATTTCCTGCATGGGGAACATGAAATGCTTCTCTCTTTTCAACTCCCTGTTCCTCTCCTAATAAACTTTACTGTTACTTCTACTAAATCTTTGTGTCTTGTTTGAATTCTCCTTCCGGACACAAGAACCAAGGTAATTTTCCGGACCACTTTTTCCGGTAACAATATGAATATTCTGGTTCATGTCTTTTGCTTGTTTGTATATATTTCTAATGGAATTGCTGGGTCATAAGGTACATGTATGTTCAGAATTTGTTAGTGGCAAGTTTCTTCAGTGTTCCAAAGTGCTTATACTGAAAGGAATAGGATGTCTCAGCGGACCCCCACCCCCCTGTTGGAGAAACCAGTACCAAATGCCCCCTGTAGATAAGATAAGCAGAGCAGCAGGGCTCGGCTCGGGCATATAGAATGTGAGGAATGTGAGCAGGTTGCGAAAGATGACGGGATGTACGTGCAAGATGTGCTCTGCCTGCTTGCTCAATGTTGATAACGTAAATATGCGCGCAAATGCTGACCTTTTACTCTATAGGCTAGGAAGTACACGTACTCTTAAATGGATAGGCTGGAAATGTATGTGGTGTTACAAAATCATTGGCTATGTGCCGCGTGGGCTTTTGCTGTAACAGCAGGTAGTGGTCTATATAAGATCTCCCCTAAAGAGGCTCAGGGTCGTGTTTTCCTAACCGGTCCTGCGTGTCCATGTGGGAGCTCGACCCTGGCTAGCCAGCCCAATAAACTCTGCTTTGTTGATTGCATTCACGCGTGGCTCTCTGTCTCTCGGGGGTCCTAACATTTGGAGGCCCCAGCGAGATTCCATTTTCTCGAGAGACAGAACTTGCCCGCGAGAAAGCAGGTGCGATCCCAAGTCCTAGGCGTTGGGAGGGGATCCAAGACCCTCATTTGGAGGAACTTGAGTGTTCCATTTGGGCCGCGGCAGGGATTCAGCCAATCCCCAGGGAGATTCATTCTGGGAATCTCGCTAGGAGGACCACAGGGTCCTATTGGGAGAGGCTTTCCTCTCATTTGGGCTCGAGCATTTTAGGAACCCTGGCGCCAGGTGAAGTACTAATTGAGCTAGTTGACCGACCACCCGTCAAGTGGACGCCTTTCGGCCTGATATCCAAGTTGGACGGTGAGGAGGTTGAATGGGGTGTGCACCAGTGTGAGAGAAGGACCGGTCCGAGCGAGTGCTGGAGAGTGTTGTGTGTATGTGGAATTATTGTTGCCTTTACCCTTTTTGCTCTATCTCTCTTGGTGTTTGATTCTCCTTCCACAATGGGACAGGGACAAACAACCCCAAAGTCTCTGATCCTTTCTCACTTTTCAGAAGTTAACCTTAAATGCGGGTCTGGTCATCAAGAAGGGTAAGTTCGACACCTTTTGTTCTGCAGAGTGGCCCACCTTCGGAGTTGGATGGCCCATTCAAGGTTTCCTCTCCCTAGACCTGATCACTAAGGTTAAAGCAGTCATTTTTCGGCCAGGCAATCAAGGCCATCCAGACCAAGTCCCTTACATTTTGGTTTGGGAGGATCTGGCGAGGAACCCCCCCCTTGGTTAACAGCTTTTCTGACTCACCCCTTCAGTTCGGCTCCCGGGGCTAAAACCCCAGTCACGCCCGCCTCGGTCATAAAGGAGGAGGAGAAACTTCCTCTTCCCACCCTGACCGGTCCTCAGAATAGGGCACCTCCCTTACCATCTCCGGTCTTACCAGAGAGTTCCCCCCTTTACCCATCCCTTGCAGGGGCAGAGGAAGATCGGCCGCCTCCATACGTGACTCCCCCTGGCCAAGCCAGTGCCCCGGAGGAGGAAATTTCCTCATCCTCCTCAACAGGGCTGGCAGCAGGAGGAGGAATGGGTCGAAGACTTCGCCCCTGAGGGATCCG